TGAGTATATAAGATTTTGGCCTCCTTCAACCTCCATGTATTACCCTTTGGTGAATATTTTGACTATCACAGCAAAACTCTGCATTAACCTAGGATTTTCAAGTTAGTATGCATAAGAACTGATCGCTTTACAATCTAATGTCTACCGTGAAGTTTCTATATGACTCTGTCAGCAATTAACTTTAGCAAGATCCCTTAAACTGAGCAAGGGATGAAAATCAATGTTGTTTTAATCTATTAAACACAACCTGAAACCTTAACAAAATGTTCTTTATATCTCATTAAAGAGCACATTGCCAATATTCTGTAACTATTATGGAAAAAAAGTAGCTGGGGTGTAGCAGGGAATGAGATCTAAAGAATGATGAAAGCCTTTGATAAGGATCTAGTAATGCTAGCTGTTTATTCATATTACAGTATGAGAAAATATTAAGAATTTGATGCAGCCAAATTATTTAAATGACCAACTTAAAAAGAACTACAATAAGCACATAATTATGTTAAGATTTAAGACTTTTGATAAATATTGGAACACGTGCTAAACTTTATCAAGAATAACAGTGCCTTATATACAAAATAGGGACGCAGTGGCTCAGTAGTTAAGCTTGTCGAACGAAAGATCAGCAGTTCAGCGGTTCGAATCCCTAGTACTGCATAACAGGGTGAGCTCCCGTTACTTGTCCCAGCTTCTGCCAATTTAGCAGTTCAAAAGTATGTAAAAAATGCAAGTATAAAAATAGGGACCACCTTTGGTGGGAAGGTAACAGCGTTCTGTGCGCCTCTGGCATTTAGTCATACTGGCCACATGGAGACGTCTTCGGACAGTGCTGGCTCTTCAGCTTTGAAACGGACATGAGCACCGCCCCCTAGAGTCAGGAACGACTAGCACATATGTGTGAGGGGAACCTTTACCTTGATATACAAAATGTATTTTTGAGAGATTATATTTTCTTTCATTATGTTTATAAAATATTTCTCTTTAAAAATTATAATTCTTTATAAAATTAAGCTGCAAAGTGATAATATGCTGGGCGGAGAATAGCCGTGACCAATAACCATTGTTTCTGATTAGCTCCTTAGCTAAAATCTTTGGCAGTATAGGTAGTCCTTGATTTACAACAGTTCATTTCGTGACCATTCAAAGTTACAGTGGTATTGAAAAAAGTGATTTGTGACCATTTTTCACACTTACAACTATTGCAGCATCGCCATTGTCATGTGATCAAAATTCAGATGCTTGACAGTTGGTTCGTATTTATGAAAATTGCAGTGTCCTGGGGGGCTCCTGTGATCACCTTTTGCAACTTTCTGACGAGCAAATTCAACGAGGAAACCTGATTCATTTAACAATCATGTTACTAACTTAACAACAGCAGTGATTCACTGAACAACTGTGGCAAGAATGATCATAAAATTGGGCAAACTCACCTAACAAATGTTTCACTCAGCAAGAGAAATTCTGGGCTCAATTGTAGTTGTAAGTCGAGGACTACCTGTATTGAAAACCACTGGTGGTTGAATAGATGTGAAAAGTAACATCCTGTTAGCCATTGGTGGCTAACAAGATGTTACTTTTCACATCTATTCAACTCTCTGATATTTAGGAAAGATAGAGCACTTATCTTGGTTTTCAAGGTGTACAAAATAGATTGCTTTCTGACATAGTATCAGCTACACAGTGGCATTATTTGTTGTCCTGTTTGAAGGGAAGAAAAGAAGACATTGTTTTGTTAAACGAACAAATCCATGCAAATCTTTCAGAAGACCAGACTAGAGTTTAGTTTGAAACTTACTGAAGTGAAATAGTCACCTTTGTTTTACTGGGTATTATAGATTACTCATGAAGAATTCAACTGCAAACAAGCTCATTCCATAGGCTCATCACAAGCTGAGGGGGGGTCATCCAGTTTGCAGAATAGTGAACATATATAGTTTGTTTTACCTGCAGTTGTAGCTTCTAGATCCATGATGGCGAACTTATGGCACGCGTGCCACCTGTGGCACACGGAGCCATATCTGTGGGCACGCAAGCATTGCCCTAGCTCAGTTCCTGCACACATGCGTGCACCAGCCAGCTGATTTTTGGGCCATCCAGGCACACCAGAAGTCGGGAAATGGGCTGTTTCTGGCCTCCGGAGGGCCTCCGGGGGGTTGGGGAAGGCTGTTTTTGCCCTCCCCAGGCTCCTAGAAAGCCTCTGGAGCTGGGGAAGGTGAAAACCAGGCTTACCGGGCCCACCATGCCATTGTGTGCCAAAAACAGGGGGAGTGTGGGGGATCATGGGCACATGCGCTGGGGAGCAGGGAGAATTGAGTTATGGGTATGGGCATGAATGCGCGTGACCCCCCCCCCCCCACGCGACCCCTGCTTTTGGCACGTGATGACAAAAAGGTTAGCCATCACTGTTCTAGATGGTACACACACCTTCATAAACATTTATGAATTGTCCTTTAATCTCTTAGTCTCGCAGTTAAGCTTCATACCTACATTGTGAATTAAATGCATGAGGCGTGGCCTGCCCTATTCAAATTAGCAAGTGCAGAACAATATATTATTCGTTTCTTCTACAAATAGGATATTTTATGAAGTGTCCAGATGTTCATCTTTATCTATGGTACATTGTTTTAATAAAAGAGGCAAACATGGGAGGAAGACTGTTATACTATAGAGCACGGGTGTCAAACTCGATCGTGTCACGTGGCGTATCGTGACGTATCATGATGTTTTTTGCCTTAGCGGAGCTGGGGTGGGCGTGGCCTGTGCATGATGCATCCGGGCCGCGGGCCGCCAGTTTGACAGGCCTGCTATAGAGGAACAGTGGGAAAAAACCAAATACACTAGAAAATATGAAAATAGATTAATACCTGAAGTTTTTATCACAAAGCACTAATTTAATTGGTCAGATCACCCATCTATAGGATGCAGGTACAAGCCAGCTGAGGCACATTTGGGCACAAGCCATGGGTGGGCAGCAGACACAGAGATAATTTGAATGATAAGATAAATTTGGAAAGAAGCTTGTTTTAATGACCCAGAATTCAACATGGGGGAACGAGCTCCCCCCAGAGATACGGAGGATCCCGGATCTGCGCACTTTCTGCCGTGCTCTTAAGACCTTCCTATTCCAGCAAGCCGGCCTGGCCTAATTTTCTCCCCTGTTTTAAAATTCTTTTAAATCGAAATTTTAATCTGTTTTAAATTATTGGGATTTTTAATTGTCTCGGGCTAAATTATTTAATCTGGTTTTAATTATGTTTCTAACTTTTGTATCTATGTATTTTATTTTGTGCCTGTTCACCGCCCTGAGTCCTTCGGGAGTAGGGCGGTATATAAATTTAATTTAAAAAAACAAACAAACATGAACCTTTTCTCTTGCTACCATAAATTTGTGTGCTATTTGTTCCTTTAATATTATAACATTTTTATAACATTTATAGGATAGTTTATAAGATTCTTAAATACAAGGCAATGCAGGGCATGATATGTGATGTGTGATGTGTTTCTCAATTTCAGCCACTTTAAGACGGTGGACTCCAACTCCTAGAATTCCCCAGCCAATCATGAAGTTCATTATGTTAAAGTTGCCAAGGTTGAGAAACACTAGTCTAGTGGTTAAGACATTACAACTCTTCAATGCAACCTATAAGTCAGGGGTCTACAACCTTAAACACTCAAAGAGCCATTTGGACCCATTTCCCACAGAAAAGAAAACACCGGGAGCCACAAAACCTGGGTGGGCGTGGCCAATTTGACATCACTCACTTCCACCAGTCACATGACACACACTCCCTAGCCACGCCTACCCAGCCGGTCATTAGGACAGAGAACCAGTTGTTAAAAAACACTGGGAACCACAAAATCCTTTTGATCTCTCTCTCTCCCTCCCTCCCCCCCTTTGTATCTCTCTCTGTCTCTCTCTCTCCCGCTCTCTCGATATCTCTCTGTCTCTACCCTGGCCGCTTCTCCATCCCCCGTTGTCACCCTTACCTTCTCAGGCCAGGTGAGGAGTGACTGGGAGGGGAGGGCGAGGGGCAGGGCCAGCCAGTGGTGGGATCACCCGACAGGGAGCCAAAGCAGAGGTCCCAAAGAGCTGCATGCGACTCCAGAGCCACAGGTTGCTGACACCCGCTATAAGTAAATCTGGCTGGGGAATTGTGGGAGTTGAAGTCCACCCATCTTAAAGTGACTGAGGTTGAGAAACACTAAATATGTGGTTGGTTGGATGGATGGATGGATGGTAGCCTTTATGTCACTGTTCAGTGGAGAAGATGCTAAAGGAATATTAGGTGCTGATATAGTTGAAGAAAAAGCTCATCATTGGGAAGGCTATATCTTTGCAACTCATAAGAGTCAACAATCAGAGATAGTTGTCAAGTATGCAACTGGACAGTGTGTTAAATACCCAAATCTCAAAATATACAGGTAGTCTCAGTTACTAACCATTTGTTCAGTGACTATTTGAAGTTATGATGGCATTGAAAAGACAGACTTGTGACCAGTCCTTAAACTTGTAGTTATCATGCAGTCATCATGGGACATTTCACTTTATAACCACATTGCTTAGCAACAGAGCTGATGTTGTAATGTAAATTGAGTGCAGTCATGTGATATTTCACTTTACAACCACAGTGGTTAGTGACAGAGTTGCTGGTCTCAATCGCAGTTGGTAAGTGAGGACTAGCTGTATGTGTATGTGTGCGTGCATGTCTGTGCCTGCGTATATGTGCACGTGTGCGCGCACACACAAACACACTGTACGTATAAACTGACAATTGAAATTTGTTTCATTATCTAGAGGTTACAGGCCTTACCTGAGATTTTTATTTCGATCACATACTGTAGGTCTAAATCTTAAAACTCCATTCGCTTGCTCGTGCTTCCTCCTCATACTTAATATGTGCCTTTCTGCTAAGCCGGTGCTTTTGCTGATAGTAAAGCTCATTTATGCAGGACGGACTAATTACCAACTATCTATTTCTTTTTCTTTCTTCTGACCCTTGCAGTGAGCATGCCCACCAGTGAGACAGAATCTGTGAACACCGACAATGTGGCGGGAGGCGATATTGAAGGAGAAAACTGCGGTGCACGACTGGCGTGAGTTTGACTCTGTTTATATGATGCTGGTGTCCTCTTGATTCCAAGAGGAAGCCTGGATGAGATAAGAGGGGGGCAGGGAGAGTATCAGAACTGTCTGAAACTGTTTCTTCCAAAAAGAATAAAAGTGAATTTGGAGTGATTCACATTTTCTGTCAGAGAACATTCTGTCATAAAATATTATAAATGCATCAGAAAATTATTCCTATGACTCTGCACAAAAGCAATGTTCCAGTATCCGCTTCCAGCATTTCTTAGTTGTTTTTTTTTTTAAAAAAACATTCATATTTATAGAAAGTGACATTAAGAAGAATTTCTCAAAAAAATTTCCTTGGCCAAGCCATACATTTGATCTGGACAAGGCTCCTTTCAGAAATTTCAGACTGCATAGAGCAAATTAAAGGAACGCTAAAAATTAATCCACTTTTCTCCCTTAAGAATAATAATACATCCAATCCTCGACTTACAATAGTTCATTTAGTGACCATTCAAAATTACAACAGCACTGTAAAAAGTGATTTATGACGGTTTTTCATACTTACGACCAGTGGTGGGATTCAAATAATTTAACAACCGGTTCTCTGCCCTAATCACCAGCTGGGTGGGTGTGGCCATGGTGGGGCATGGCCGGGGGTATGACAGGCAGCACTTGGCCTCCTGCACTCCCCCCCGGGAGCAAAAAACAAGTCGCAGTAGGGGCACCGGCCCCCTGTGCCCTGTTTTGGGCCTAGTAGGCCTCCCTGCAGCCTCCTGGGAGCAAAAACAGGTTGCGGGATGACTTCTGGAAGGGGAGGGAAGGGGAGGGGTGGGGCCATCCAGCAATTTAACAACCGGTTCTGCCGAAGTGGTGCGAACTAGTTGAATCCCACCACTGCTTACGACTGTTGCAGCATCCCCTGGTCAAGTGATCAAAATTCAGGCGCTTGGCAACTGACTCATATTTTCGATGGTTGCAGTGTCCTGGGGTCATGTGATCACTTGTTGTTGTTTTTTGAACTTCTGATAAGCAAAGTCAAGGGAGAAGCCAGATTCATTCAACAACCATATTACTAGCTTAACAATTGCAGCAATTCACTTAACAACTGTGGCAAGAAAGGTTATGAAATGGGGCAAAATTCACTTAACAAGTGTCTCGCTTAGCAACAGAAACATTGGGCTCAATTGTCGTAACTCGAGGACTACCTGTATCTTCCAGAGAATTATTTTTTAAAAGTGTGAACGCTAGGAGAAACATAAAAATATATGAGAGATACAGATAGCATAAAGTGTATTTGGTGAAGCATATTTTGTCCCAGATTAAGATTCCTTAAAAATAAATTATGTTGCATGTTAAATGTTCACCATCCTAAGCGACTGAAACTAAGTACAAGCTTTATCCTTCATTTCATATAAAAACATGAAGGTAAGTATAGTTTAGACACATACATCACATTTTCTATTTCATGCTAGCATAACATAACCTTGAGTATTTCTCCAAGTTAGAAGTGCATAAATGCTCCTCTCTTTGTTTAGGTCAGAGTTCTGTTTCTACCAAAATAATTGTAATAAAATCAGAGTTTGCTGTGATGGCACGTCTGTTTAATGCTACTTCTGTAAATCAGAAGTATTTAGAAAAACTCAGGCACTCACAGCGATCATACCTTTTGGTTGCACTTTTTGTTGTTACAGTGTTCCTTAATTACTTCATAATGAGCAGTTTTACACAATCCCTTCAGGTGTTGAAAACCGAGGCCAAAGGGAGGCACAGATCCTATAATCTCATCTCAGTCTCTCTTTCTTGAATATGCACAGAACTGGTTCATGAGTTTCTCACTGTGCACCCCTTCCCTGGAGTGAGAACCAGGATTGGCTTGGTTAAATAAATGGCAAATTGGCTGTGGCAATTTAGCTGTGGCTAGTTATCCCATTCCACAGCAGGGTAGGGATGTCCTTGGATGCTAATTGCTATAAGTGTGTTGATTCCCTTCGAATGGATAAGAATTGGGCAAGGAAATGACAAGGTTGAATGAGGAAGGATGCCCCTGCCTGCTGTTGGGAGCAGCAGGGGAGGGGTGCCTTTGCATGTTGTGTATGTGGTAGTGTAGTGGGGAGGTGGTTACTGGGTACCAGAAGTGAAATGCTCCCGGTTCAGACCGGATCACCCGATCCGGTAGTGATGGAGACAGATGGTTCGGAGAACCGGTATCCCTGCCCCCCCCCCCCCATGCCCAGCTGAGCCGCGCAATCATCAGAGGATTTTTTTTTAATTTTTAAAAGCATTTTTTCTACAACCTCTTCGGCCGAAAAAATGCTTTTAAAAGTAAAAAAAAAAGCCTCTGATGATTGCACGGCTCAGCTGGGATCGTCAAAGGCTTTAAAAACCTCTGATGATCCAAGCTGAGTTGCCTGATCAGCAGAGGCTTTTTTTCTTTTAAAAGGCTCTGACGATCCCAGCTGAGTTGCCTGATCGGCAGAGGCTTTTAAAAGAAAAAAAAGCCTCTGCTGATCAGGCAACTCAGCTGGGATCGTCAGAGCCTTTTGAAAGCATTTTTTACAACCTCTTCGCCAAAGAGGTTGTAGAAAAAATGGTTTTAAAAGTTAAAAAAAAATGGCCACGCCCACCCAGTCACATTACCCCACCACCACCAAGCCACGCCCACAGAACCGGTAGTAATAAATTTCAGATTTCACCACTGCTGTTGGTGCTGAGAGCTGGTAAGCTAAAGTTGCTTGGGGTGTGGATCCACAAAAATGTAGATTTTTATGTATTTTTTTTCTAATATCTATTGTTTTTGTATTTGTTGTTGTCTCTGCCTATTGTTTGCCACCCAGAGTCACCTTTGGATGGATAGATAGATAGATAGATAGATAGATAGATAGATAGATAGATAGACAGACAGACAGACAGACAGACAGACAGACAGACAGACAGACAGACGGAGGGAGAGAGGTTATACTTTTAAAACCATTGTCAGTTGGACCAGGGAGTTCTGATGCTAGTTACTAGGAAGGAGAAAGGCACAAAACAGATTGAATTAACTCCTTGAAACAAACATAATTGCCATTTTTGTGCTTTTTAGTTTGTCCAGAAATTCCATAGATCTTTTATACATTGTAGGAGGAGAATTATGGTTGTCTATAACAGTCAAAAACCAGGAGGAGTCTGGAATATCCTTTTCAGGATGACAAATATCATTAAAAGTCATAACCTTTCATTCTGATGAAATGAACATATTCTCAAAAACTTACACCTTTTGATGAAATTTGTTACCTTGAAAAGAATCCATCACGTTTCCTTGGACACATCTTTTTAACAGATTTCAAATAGAAATAAAATTTTACATAGAAATAGTCACTTGGAATAACTGCAGAAGGTTGTCTGAAAAAACAATAATTGAGAAAGTGACAAAGATCATTTTGTAAAATAACTAGGAAGAAAGAGTTTATATGCAAAAATATAAACCATGGGAACAGAATTGTATTTTGAAGCCAAAAGCCTGTAATCTCTTCCCAAATGAGATAAAAACTAGCTTACATAAATGCTTTTCATCATGATTCAAAATAGTATTTTTCAGTGACCCAGAGGTCGGTAAGAAAGCAAGATTTTCCCATGCACTGATCTATGCAGTGTCTAAAGAGGAATTTGTGTTATACAATCACTTGATTGTTACAGTATATATGAACTGGGCTATAATTCTGGAGCAGTGCTATGTTAGGGGTTATTTTCAGACCCCTGGAATTAGACTGATACAAAATTCAAGTCAACTAATTAATTCATCTGTTCTACATACCGTGTTTCCCAGAAAATAAGACCGGGTCTTATATTAAATTTTGCTCCAAAAGACGCATTAGGGCTTATTTTCCGGTTAGGTCTTATTTTGGGGAAAATATGATACTAAATGCATCCATCTGGCTGACAATCTTAACTGGGGCTTATTTTGAGGATAGGGCTTATATTATGAGCATCCTGAAAAATCATGCTAGGACTTATTTTCCGGTTCGGTCTTATTTTCGGGGTTAAACAGGGTAGTTTAAATTATTTGAAGTCTACTACCCTACAGAGATGCTCAGCTATGTCCTTTGCTGAAATCTTGTTTGAGAATAATATATAAATACAGTATCAGAACTAAAAAAAAAAAAAAAGCTCACTTCTTCTGCAATAACAGTTTGTCAAGAATTGTAGTTTGCAAAGCTGTCTTTCTATTTGAGAAACCTTGGGGGCGGATGGGGGGGAATTCATAAATGTTATGTCTTGAAAATCTTATCAATAATGGAACTACTCCATCAGAAGTAATCACCAAGCTTTCAGTATATTTTTTTCTGGACAATTTACTTGGTGCTTTTCTATCTGGTGGAAGAAGTCCTACTGAGACTCCCTTTGAACACAGAGTCTGAAGCTGGCAATAGATAACTTTAAAGGACAGCTTGGATTGTCAAGTTTAACAGCACCTTGATCAAAGAAAGCATTGTGGTTCTTTGGATCCCATTTGATTTTCAAATCAAAGTTTGCCTCTGTCACACGCACCTGATTTGAAAAAGGCTAGCTTAAAAAAAGGCTTATCACATTTAGACATTAGTAAAACAATGCACATTGTGCTATGAAAAGGAGATCTCGCTAAAATGATTCGATCCAAAATGTAAAATGATTTAAAAGCACTAATGCTTTTGGAGGAAATATTGACAAGTTAAGTTCACCCTTCTCAGTTTTGTATGCAAAAAGACACAAACAGATGCAATTGAAATTGAAGAAAGTTACCTCGGTTTATTTTATGGGATAGACTTAATTAACTTTCTTAAATGAATGTTCTTGACGTTGGCTAGATTATACCTTTATTTGAGAAATAATCAATGTAAACTAAATGAGATTATATTCATGGTGAGCAAATCCTGGGCTTCTAAAATAAATGTGCTTTTACTTTTTAGAGTGAAAAGGACTCCTGGCTAATTCTGTTTTGTTATTTAACATGATTGATTGCATTTAACTTTATGGATCTCAGAATATCACTTGCTGGATTGGAAGG